TCTTGTAACTGGTAACCTCACTATCAGCAACATTTTCCATGTCCTCTTGTAACTGGTAACCTCACTATCAGCAACATTTTGTATGTCCCCTTGTAACTGGTAACCTCACCATCAGCAACATTTTCCATGTCCCCTTGTAACTGGTATCCTCACCATCAGCAAAACTTTCTATTTCCCCTTGTAACTGGTATCCTCACCACCGTCAACATTTTCCATGTCCTCTTGTAACTGGTAACCTCACTATCAGCAACATTTTGTATGTCCCCTTGTAACTGGTATCCTCACCATCAGCAACATTTTCTATTTCCCCTTGTAACTGGTATCCTCACCACCGTCAACATTTTCTATTTCCCCTTTTAACTGGTATCCTCACCATTGTCAACATTTTCTATTTCCCCTTGTAACTGGTATCCTCACCATCAGCAACATTTTCTATGTCCCCTTGTAACTGGTATTCTCACCATCAGCAACATTTTCTATGTCCCCTTGTAACTGGTATTCTCACCATCAGCAACATTTTCCATGCATTTTTTCCAACCGTATTACTTGTTGCTTTTTTATCTCACTCAGATCCAGTGAAAAAATGCTCGTTCATCATATACAAACCAACTAATGTCTCACATTTGATATCAGTTGTATAGTTAATGTTACTGCCAGGTAGTGGAACAATATATCTATACGTAAAGTAAGTATGTATATGTTATGTTTTATTACAGTATTGTACCTTGAACCCTTTCAGATATGTACTTAAGTCAAATGGAACATTATTTTTCCAACGGTTTTCTGGCGATATGTTTTAACTGCTTTATAACACTTTAACAAGCTTTGTTTGTTTTTGGCCTTAAAATACTTTACGTAATTTAGTGATGTTATTGAAATTTTATTTTATAAAATCGCAGTAAGTACATTTCTGGTCGTTTAAGATGTACATACAATTTATTCATTTATCCACTAATATCGTTTCCCTATTTTTTTTAATGAACACTTTTATGTATCGATAAAACAAATACCGTAATGACATACGTAAACCTGTTCCTGGAAAGCTACATAATTAAATTAATTAGAAAAGAATGATATAGATAACAAGCTAAAATAAAAACGTGTTGGCGTTCTTCATAAGTAAAAGATTGATGATGTGAGAGTAACGTCGTTTCCTGTAACATGTATATTGTTAAATTGTTCGCCAATTCCATTTCCTCTGTTTTATAAAGTTTTTCAAAAAAAAAAAAACTTAATTACTGCGTTCCTTGGCGTAGAAACTTTAATAAAGCTATGCTATTCCCTGTAAGATTCACGCCATGTAACGTCACACAAGCTCTCAACTCTGTATCGTATCAGCCATGTTCAGGACATAATGAACAGTATTTCGAGGTGTTCTGATGTCCCTCGATTTCGTGCTTAGAACATTGAATATTTATCTCTAAGTATTCAGTTAACTAGCCGAGAAATGTGAAAAGAAGATGAGCGTTCTATCACTGCCCTATCACTACATTCTACCAAGTGAGCGTTCTATCACTGCCCTGTCACTACGTTCTTTCAAGTGAGCGTTCTATCACTACCCTGTCACTACGTTCTACCAAGTGAGCGTTCTATCACTGCCCTATCACTACATTCTACCAAGTGAGCGTTCTATCACTGCCCTGTCACTACGTTCTTTTAAGTGATCACTTTCCTCCTTGTGGACCAGTAGAACTCGGTGTTGTATTACAATCTCTCATGAGGCTGAGAGATCCAAGAAGATTAAATACTTAGTATTTCCAAAGTCTCTGCAATATCCCAAACCTCGGTGAAGAAATAAGAGCTACTCTATCAGCTCCAGAGAACTCAATATGAATAAATAGGTGGATTGATAGTGTTACAGAAAACACGGCTGAATAGCTAATAGAGTTATTCAGGAAATTAGTTGACGTTTGTTGGTAACTTTATCTAACTTGTACTTATGTATACATTAACATTCTTATACTGAAACTAAGAGAATTAAAATTGAACTGTTTTATGCACTTAGTTGTCGCTGAAGCCTCCGTTACATATGTTGAAAAATAAAAAGAACTTATTGTGAACGTTCTTCAGAGTGGATAACTAGATTATTCATAAGTTCAATCTAGATTGTTCTGTATTTTTAACACAAAGATATATTTCTTCTTTGTTGATCCGATGTTTGTTTCATAGGTCTGTATTATTTTGTGTTGTGTTTTTGATTTATTTAAGAAAGTAATATATTTAACATGGGAGTAAGCTCCAGAAAGGTCTCATTGTACAACACAAATAACAATTTTAAACGATGACAAAATCATTTGTCTTTTGCACATTAAAATGAAAGAGCCCAAAATCTCATGAAAAGTCTTATAATGTAATTTTTGTTCATTAGAAGTTGCTTTTATAATGTGAGAAGGTATAAAACTACAGTTTTTATAACAGCCGCTATAGAGGTGATATAGGATATTTTCAAGTATTAACCCGTTCAACTCAAATTAACTTCATAAATTTTTTTTCTTGTACCACCATCATAGTAATATCTCTCCACCTACTAATTCCTGTTTCATTTGTTGATTACATGTAACCAATACAGTCAGACTGTATAGCATTACAAACCTACGCACTTAAATTTAGATCTTATTGATCTAACAACATCTACTTAAGAATTTTCGGTTTTACTACTGCTTGAGTTTCCAACCTGTTATGCATTCAGTCATACCCATATGTTGGTTTCTCAGACCTTTGCTTTTGCATAACACATTGTACGCCGTCGCTTCGAACGTTTTCGTCGTCTTTGTGTTTGAGAAAGAAATCAATGAATAAATTGACAACCATGCTTCATCTTTAAAAAAATCGTTTGCCCTTTCGTTAAAAAGTATTCGTTTTGAATATCCATCTCTTTATGTATTCTTTCTAAGTACCTTGTGTATTAAAAAAAAATGCCAGTATTTTGAGGTTTTCGTTTAACAAATCTAACTCTGCAAACACAGTTTAGTGAAAATCATATAGTACCGATTTTGAAGAACATAATTACTTTACTGAGAGATCGGTAATATGAACATCAATGTCGTGAAAGCTAGGGTTCTGTGACCAGTTCTGTGAAGCTAGGATTTTATGATCAGTTCTGTGAAGCTAGGGTTTTATGATCAGTTTTGTGAAGCTAAGGTTCTATTATCAGTTCTGTGAAGCTAAGGTTCTATTATCAGTTCTGTGAAGCTAGGGTTTTATGATCAGTTCTGTGAAGCTAGGGTTTTATTATCAGTTCTGTGAAACTAGGGTTTTATTATCAGTTCTGTGAAGCTAGGGTTTTATGATCAGTTCTGTGTAGCTAGGGTTTTATGATCAGTTCTGTGAAACTAGGGTTTTATGATCAGTTCTGTGAAACTAGGGTTTTATGATCAATTATGTGAAGCTAGGGTTCCATGATCGTTACTACATTGAGAATGTGAGCATGACTTTAATTTTTTTAGTGTAATCTGTTTTCGTTCACTATTAACTTCTGCTGACTATTTGTGTAAAATGACTGGTCGATAAAAATATTTTTGCGAGAGCGTAAGATTTATCTCAGGTATTTTTGATGTTATTTTGAGTAAACTATTTCTGTAGAAGAAGTAATGTTCAACATAAAGTATCGTTTATAAACCTCTGTCCATGAATTAAAGATTCAGTAAGATATCAGGGAGGTTTTCAATTTTTTAAAATTCTCTGCCGCAGTGGAAGAAGAATAAAACTTCCAACAAAAATGGCCTTTTTAATCCATATAATAGGCAACACTGTTATTTATAATTAGAAATAATTATTACGCAAGTAACTCAACGGTAAGTTTGAGGGCTTATAACGCTAAAAATCTGGTTTCGATACTCGCAGTAGGCACAGCACGTATTAAACCATTGTGTAGTTTTTGTACTAATAAAACTACTAATACTTGAGCAAATTCTGTATTTATCTTTTACTTTAAATTAGCCTAACATCTCATTGGCACTGTTTATGTTTACTGTAACCAGCAGTTTGCAACAATTATTTTCATACTGAAATGTGTATTTAAGGGCTTCATCCTTTTAATTTTTTTTCTCTTATCACACGTTATGGTACTATGTCATGGCGGTCGTTTGATGTTGCTGTCTTTATCAATCTTCATATGATGTGTGGTGTATTTAAATTCAGAGCTAGAAGAAATTTGGAAAGTTGTTTATCACGATAAACATGTAATTCCAAGAAATATTCTCTTTTTGCTATCTTTGTACCCTAGTATAATTATTGTTGTACTTACTCTATATGTATTACGTTACCTTGGACACCATTAAAATAATGTTAAAGATATTCAGATATTCTTTTGTTATCTACCACCATTGACAGTGTTTTTAATTATATTTAATATCCTGGGTTACTTCAGTTTCAGTAACGCTATTGCAGGAACGCTTGTGTGTAATACTTGTTGTTACAACAATGTTAAAGATATTCAAATATTCTTCTGTTATCTACCACCATTGACAGTGTTTCTAATTATATTTAATATCCTGGGTTACTTCAGTTTCAATAATGCTATTGCAGGAACGCTTGTGTGTAATACTTGTTGACGTCAATTATTCCAATAGAAGCTCTGTGCTAATTGAAATTAACATCAGCTTGATATTTAATGGAAATCAAGTCTTTTATTTTTGTACATCATAAATATTTTTTTAAAAACTCACTGTTATCTGCTGTGGTAGTTTTCAATCTTAACCAACAGGAATTTTAATTTCGTTGAACCTTCACCTGGGGTTTTGAAATGGGTGACCAGATGAAGGCCTCACATTTAAATTTCATTACATACCATCATAAAAGATTTAAGTTTATTACATAGCGCCCTATAAAAAGCTAGAAGAGCAAGATGTAAAAAATAAATAAAATATTTAACTAGAATTTCTATCGAATTTGTATTAAATTAGTTTATTAAAAAAAACCGTCATCTTGCATATTTTGTTTATTTAAAAAAAATCGACATTCTGCATATTTTTAATAATTTTTACCGATATATTTTATAGACGAAGCCCTAACTTGTAATGTGTGTGATCGTTCATTCCACTCAACTCGCCAGCTAGCTCAGCACCAGCAGAAGAAACGACATTTTGGATGCTCCATCTGTGATTCTATTTTTCCCAACCTGATGGCGCTAGAGTACCATAAGGAGGCGTTGGATCATTGGTCTGAAGACGAAGCTAACACTAATGAGAGTGGAAGTGACGACGACAGTGATGAAGAAGAAGGCAAAAAATCAGAGGAGTTGGAACGACTGTTGTGAAGCAGCTCTTCTTCCGTTGTATTTTTCTTTTCCTTTTTTCAGTGGGCTGTATCAAGGAAAGTTATGTAGAATGAAACAGTTGTATTATTATATACAAGTTGTTTATAGCTAGCAGTATTTTTAGTACTTGGGCAGAAAAAAAAGACTTCAAAGATCATTTTGTGGATGTCCTATTTCTTAACGTGTACTTTTTCCTCGTCACTAATAGAAAGTAAAAAATAAGAGAACCATATATGTAAACATTATTTAAGTAGCAATTGTATATGTTCTACTTGTAAAACCTGTACTTAAACTTTCGAAAATCTGTAAGTAATTTATATATTTTTCATTTTAACAGGTTTTATCCTTTATTTTTGCCATGTATTAGCGGTTTTCTAACACTCAATTTTATTCCATGCATAAATGTCTTGTTCGTTTGATTAATTCTCGAAAACAAAACTTAATGAATAATTACGCTCTAAAAGTTGCTTTTATACTAAAATTATCTAATAAATAACATTATTTTATGGTGAGTTAGCCTCCTCTGGTGACGTTCAAGAGTAATAGAAGAAATGAAGGGATATAATTTTGACTGTCAAGGGTCCGTATGATTATGATATTTTCATGTGTGCCTGTGTTTCAGAGTGTAAATAGATATATGAATCTTTAAACTATATTTTACAACTAGCTGCAGCTTATATGCGATCAGCAGGAGACGTTGTTTTACTAGTTAAAGGTGTTGTTACAAGTGGATTGTAAAAGCTGATTAGCAGAAGGCGTGATTTTATTAATTAAGGATGTTACAAGTGGATTGTAAAATCAGGTTATCAGGGGGCGTGATTTTATTAATTAAGGGAGTTGTTACAGGTAGAAATTGTGAAATTAAGCCACTATTTCATGTCGGTTGTTTTGTTTTTTTTCATATTTTGAAACTGATATATATATCTATGTGTATGTGTTTGAAACTGAATGCTTAATTTATAACTACTCTTTTCAGTGGCACGAGCAAGGTATTCGGTTTATTTGTGAAATGATAAGATTTTCCCCCAATTGATGTATAACTGGCAGTATGAATATATAGATAGTGTACCTTCTGTAAGTGCATATTGAAAATCTAAGTATACAGCAAATGATAAGTTGAACAAAAGTTATTATTTATTTTCTTTTGTATCAACAAAATATTTTACTAAACTTTAATGGTAATTATAAATGTAGTGAGAAAGGTGATATGTTCAAATAAAAGATGGATTATCCTAAAGGAGACTTTTGTGGGCATATTTAAAGCAAATAATATATTTATACGAGTCTTGAAGAAACACATCCAGTCATTTATCCATATCGTGTGTTCGAATAAACTAAGATGTAGTAGAAACTGATGATTTGTCTCCTGTGAATAATCTTGTTAAATTTCGTCTTAGTTTTTTGTACTTTCACTTTTAAATTTTCAACTTTTAATTCAAGACAAGTCAACTTTATTTTTGTTTGAAGTTAAAGAACTACATAAACGCACATTAGTTCGCCATACAATGATTAGATATCGTAACACTGTCGGCGCGGATATAATGATTAACTTCTTAACTATTTTGCCAATGAATGTATGATATCATACGACATTAACGGTTAGGTTGTGATAATGGAGTGGCTTAAGTACTACGACTAACCTGGGCTTGAATGTAAAATTCTTTCAACTGGAGTATACAAAATATCATGACATTTCCATCTTAATAATAAAAGTATATCATAATTAGTTCTAATAAGAGGATTTATGAAATTTTATAATTGTGGCACATAGCTAGTTGAAAAAGTGTGTGTGAAATGTGTCACTGTCAGCTGTGCTATAATAATGAAGTGAATAAAACAACAAGCGATGCCAGTTGAACGTATAAGATCCCTCATACCTACGAATTTATTGAACATTTCTATCTCATTTTACGCCCAAATCAGAGTTTGTTTATATCTAGTCTTAATAATCCAGAATTCTAGAGCTTAGCCAGAGAAGCTAACGAATATATATTTAGTATTGCTAACGTACGTAGAGCTATTTGTAGTTTTTGTGGACGCAGACGTTTTTATCTGTATACGATATAACTATTTAAAGATTTACTGTAAAGTCTAAAGAAAGTAAATGTAAATACTAGAAAGTATATTTCCATGTAGCATTTTGAAATATATATATATAGCAAGAAATACGTGAACAAATTACGTTTTTTTTTTTACTATTTGCACGACCTTTAATTATGCTGATGTGGTCGGATTCCCTGGAATCTTTTATTAAATATATTCACCTTCAGTATTGAAGAATAATTAGATTTAAACTAGATTTAAAAAAATGAATATGGTGTTGCACATATTTGTTAAGTAAATGTTGTTATTTATACTCTTATTTAAAGTAAATCTTACTGTCAGAAATTGTGAACCCTCAAGCTTGGCTTGTAGGTTTGTATTTAAAATTAAAAGGAATAAAGCGGTAAAACCATTACACAATAAATAGTTAAACAAACAGGGACTTGCCTTTAAAAGTACTCTGCATAGAACACCGAAACATATGTAGAATCTTTTTTAAGGGCAAGTCACTGTTTGTTTAACTATTTGTTGTGTAATGATTTTAACGTTCTATTCCTTTTAATTATAAATATAATGTTTTACACAAGTGTCGTTTTAAATTATTTATTGTAGATTTGTATTACAACGATCGGAAGTTCATGTTCTCTTATTTTATTTACATTTTCACAATTTAAAATGTAGTTATAGCACACTAATTTTATGGTTAAAAGCCAGTTTTCGTAATATTCTAAAGAGGGATTCTTCCCGGGAACGGGTGATGACGTGTAAAAAAATTGGAAGTAGGCAGTATCACGTTCGTTTAGGCGGTGGTTGGCAATACTACTGGTGTTGTAGGTTTAGCGTCAGGGTCCTGTAATCGTTGATCCAATATAAACCTGGTTGTACCTAGGTCACATTAACTCATATACGTTTGCCTTTAAAGGTTGAAGAGCCCTTTTAACCTAGACTCTGTTTTCAAGACATATTTAACTGAACTTGTAGATATAATTGATTGATAATTTTCTTCTTAATCATGTATGAAGTAGTGCCTAACTAGAGTATGACTAAAGTAATAGTTTTCTTTAGGACATCGAACATAACAACAGGTAGAGTATTTGGATTTTCAATATGGGTGTGTATTATTATATTCAGGAACGACAACAGAAAGTAATTTTCTCATATACATTTGTTTCATGTTCTTCTTTTTGATAGCTTGGCTCTGTACAACATAGTTTTAACTGAATTTATGAACCTGTATATAAACCCGTGACGTTCATAGATCCTTCAAAAAGGCGTAAGCTGAAACGTCGGGTTGAGTAAATAAACATTTACCTGAAATTGTTTGTCGTCTTCATTGAAAATATTTTTTTAGTTTGAAATAAACTCTTTTTATACGTTTGTAAAATTTCCCTACAATATCCGTATAGAATAATATCGGTAACGCTTCTGCATATAGGAAACCATAAAACAAAATAAAACTGCTTATGTAAAACAGCACGTGAACAGGCTTGGCAAGATGGAGGCAAGCTGCCTAATGAAATGTGGCTCGGCGTGGAGTGATTAACAAGTTTCAATTCCCATGATTTTAAACTTTTGTTCTTTGGGAATAATTTATAAAGTATAAAAGCAACGTGTAACCAAGGATAAATATAAAACATAAGAACAATTCCTCTGAAAATTAGCCCACAAGTTTAAACACCATAAAAATAAAACAATAACACATATGCACTACCACTACATGTTCCATCGTGAAACTGAAAAGAAATTCACAGAACATGAACTTCAATCGTTCAGTATGAGGTGAACTGAAAAACTAGGTCTGTATTATAGTTGAAAGTTAGTTTGATAGATAAATACATAAAGAGAGAGAAAGTTAAATACTGAGGTTTCTATATTAAGGACTTTTCTTATCAGTAAACCTATAAGCTATTAAACCTATAAGCTAGTAAACCTATAAGCTAGTAAACCTATAAGCTATTAAACCTATAAGCTAGTAAACCTATAAGCTAGTAAAACTATAAGCTATTAAACTTATAAGCTAGTAAACCTACAAACTATTAAACCTATAAGCTAGTAAACCTATAAACTAGTAAACCTATCAGCTAGTAAACTTATAAAGTAGTAAACCTATAAGCTAGTAAACCTATCAGCTAGTAAACTTATAAACTGTTAAACCTATAAACAAGTAAACCTTGAGCTAGTAAATTTATAAACTATTAAACCTTGAGCTAGTAAGCCTATAAGCTAGTAAACCTTGGATGAAACTCTTTGGTTATAAGTTATGAAAGTTTTCCCATTTTATTTCTTTCATTCTCTCACAGTGGGCGTGGACGTGGTCCAGTTCCTCTTTGATGAGAATAAAATAAATACATGTTGCTTTGCAATGAACAGAAATAGGTTGTTTTAAATATTATTGATACTAACAAAAAAAAAATCCAAAATTTAAATTTTATTTTAATCAACCATCATGAGACATAGGTAAGCTGTAGACATAAAACTGTATATTTCATTTTGAACTTGTGGTGTTCATTGGTTTGTTTTGGAATTAACTGGCCTTTTCGGAAGTTCTTTTTTCACCATACAGAAATGTTGGACAAGAACTGTGAGTGTTTTTATTTCTTCCACGTGACAAACTATATTGTTTCTGATTTCTGCTGTTATATTTATTGACGATTGCTGGATCACTAATGTTTCGTTTGATGTACATTTTAGTATTTGCTATCATGTTTTTCACGTTGTAAAATGATGTACTTGTATGTATATTTATATATATATATATATATATATTGTTTT